TCTACTCGAAATGGAAGTAATCCCAACAATTATGAAACAGGAGATTCCTCGAAACCCAATTTTTCTTTGAATTAGGTATCTCATATAATTATTTGTTAAATTGGCTACAACCACGATCCCATAGCCAAACCTCATGTTTGTCCCTACAATTTACCAGTAAAGTTGTCTTATATTAAATGCATCATCATTACCATTCGCTTTAGTCGGTACAATTTAATTTGAATGCAGAACAGTGGAATCGGCTAACGTCAAAGTTATTTATGTAGATATATTGAGGTCACCTCGAATGGCTGTAATTTCTATCCTTCTTCTAAAGTGAGTAATCACTTTAATTGTCTTTAATTTCCTTAAATACACGGACTCGTCTTTCTATTCTGATTATATCTATTCATTTCTCATCCATTAAATGCATTTTTATATTATGTTTGAATATTTGCTCTTATTATTGTCTGGCCCCTTGTAAATGTACTTGTAACTTCTGTAAACACAGAAAATTGCATTAGTTTTATTCGATGTATCATAATCTGTATTTGGTTAATAAACTTTTCATTTAATCATTCGATGAATAAATTTATCTCTGCTTGTCTGTTTATTCTATTTTTTCAATGTAAATTTTATTTATCTATCTTTCTCGCTCTTTATGTTTTTTATAGTTTAATTACTGTTTAGCCTCAGCAAAACCGGATCATCTTCTATCCTCACCTTTGCACCGGTCGTCTGTCATTGCCGCTCTTTCTACAGGGCCCAGTGGGGTGCCCACCAACTCTGCTTCAGTCGCTGGTACCACCAATTGTAGCGGTAACAGTAATATATGTCTTAGCGGGTCTGCTCCAGCTGTTGCGCCTGCTTCTACATCTGCGACTGCCTCAACAACTTCTTCCCTGGCCAAGCCGATCGGCGCTGGGTTTACAGTATCTAGCCGGCTCTCATCAGCACAGCAGATGACCGTCAAATCCTTCGTACCGGGCCTCGATGACTCCACTTTGTCTATAAGCAACATGGGTATTTGTACCAGCGGAAGTAGTTCCGTCAGCGCTGAACTAGTCCCTTCAGAACATCCGCCGGGGGCGCCTCCTATCACTATCGTCTCAACTGCAGGCGGCACCACCTGTGCCGCGATTGGCGGTAATAGCTCCTCTCTTTTTGCGTCCATCGCTAATTCGACCCCAGGCTCATGGTAAGTTATTTGTCTGCTATGGGCACCCTTTCTCACGCCTAAGCCCTTTATGCCTTCTTTCTTCTTGCAAAGAGATTTTGTAACTTGATGAGTTTTGTTACTAATGCAAAGCCATTAAATTTTTTAGTTTCGAAATCATTTTGGAATTTTGTTGTTTTTTATCCTGAAGCACTCGATATTCCTGAGAGGGTTACTAGAAACTATTTTGGCATAGCAAGAAAGCATAGTTACATCTAAAGCTGTTCATATAAGCTCACGCTAAACCTAAATGTCTCTAAACTGAGGATTATATTTATTTTTCAGACCTTTTTCTCCAGACTAATCACCACCTAATCTCAACTTTATGTTTATCGAATCCTTATTTGTCTCCTATTTATTGTGTTAATACTCCTTTTGAAAATATTGTAATTTGCTATAAAGAAAAACTAGGTTTCAAAGAATTATTTAGTGATTTATTGTTATGTGAACTTCCATTTCGAGGGAACAGTTGGTTGGAGAGAATTAGTGAAATGATCTTACGAGAAGCCGATGCAGAATTGCCGCGAAGTGAAGACTATTGGAGGGTACGAAGAATTCCTCGGCTCTCTGTCCTGCGACACAGAAGAACCTGTGCTGAGCTTTCCTCTTTACTGTGACAGACATCATAAGGGCAAGAAAAATACGCTAAACTAAGGAAAAATATTTTTTCTTGGACTTTTAATCTACATTTCATTTCTTTATCTTTCTCACTCTTTCTCACTCTTTCTGTTATTTGTAGAGCAAATCTTTTCTCTTGGTTTAGTATGTAATGACCTATCCCTACACTTTTCCATTCAACGTTTAATTTTGTTAGAACATGTACGTAGCATGGCTCAATACATTTTAGCATATAGATCACGTGAGAGTGTGACTAATCCTCACTTTATTTTATGTCGACCAATCATCGTGTCTACCTTTTGAACCAATCAAGCTGCACCCTAAACTACGCAAGTGTACTTGAAGAAGCAACCGCACTATCTAGGTCTGTCACGTTTTCTTCATTTCTCTGCTCGCAGTGACCCGCAGAGTTTGGACTTTTCCATGACGCGCCGCTTCCAACAATTGACTTTCTTTTCTCAGCCATATATCTTAATTCAGCTGGTTCTAAGCAAGACCTTTGGTGATATGCCTTTTCATTTTCTCTTTTCGTCCCGGGGCTTCCGACCTTATATCACGTTGCAGGGCGCAAACGTTTAATATTTTTGGCACAAACCTGCATCATTCGGATCACAATACGTATATTTTTTTCACTATTTCATAAAGTATAGATTTATACTCTGAGGATGTCTGTCAAGATACAGACGAAAGCTCAACACAGGTTCATCAGTGTCGCAGGACGGTGAGCCGAAGACACTCCAATAGTCTTCACTCCGCGGCAATCCTCCTTCGGTTTCTGTTGAGTCCATTTCACGAATTTCTTCCAACCAACTTTTCCTTCCTAATGGAAAGACATTTCACAATTATACCTGATGTTTTCTTAGAGGAAATATTTTCCGTCCAACCTCCCCCACGTTACTTTACCTTGTTATTTCCTAAGAAGCTATAGTTTTAATATTTTAATTTACATTACCAATCATTTGGAGTTTATTCTAAATTGATTGTTTAATTTTTCATACTAAATTGCACAGTATAATGTTGTGGGGTATGGCTATAACAATCGGTAAATAACTATATTTGCTTCTGTGGCCTGCATTCCTTTAGGCAGCATAAGTTTGACAAGACCTTGGGCAAGACTCCG